ATTTAATATAGTTTATTGTCAGGAGCACAGTAGGTTCAGTTACCATAAAAAATATTTAAAGCAAAATAAGAAGAAAATCGAAAATGGTAAAATTGAGCTCGAGGCTTCATTTCCGAGAAAAATGGCTTTGTGGATCCATTAAGTACGCGTGCACCGAAGGTAAGGGCTAAGAGACCATTGCTCGTGCGACGCGAACACCCGCGCGCGACCACGTACGCCCGTAGAATTTTCGTTACACGTTGCAGTCGTAGTAGACACGTACCTTTAACGCTCGTATACTTGGTGGATCCTCAAAATCGTTTACCTCAAAAACAAAGTCAGCTTTTAGAATCAGTAAAAGTCAAAATTTAATAAAAAATTACATTGAGTGATATGGTTCAAAAAGCAAAATCCAACCATGAATTGCCACGTTTATATTAAAAATGTACAATAACGTTCGAACAGTACCGAAACCAAAACTTCCGATAGAATTTCCGAAATCAGATCTCAGAAACACGGTTATTCCAATATCAAAGTTACTAAACGAGAATAGAAAATATCATTGAAATGGAAGGCGCTAAAAGAGTAGACAGTCAGACGAGAATTAACGCTAAGATAGCTTTATTACGTTAGTAAGTACTAAGAGAAGGCTGCGCAATGCTAACAACCTTCCATGAACAGTGAAGATTTAGCCGCAGCGGCAATGGATGCATTTAGATGGGAGAATTAAGCTTTTTCGTTAACGGAGCATTCTTAGCGAACCGTCTACCTAGTGACTTCACCCTAACGGAACAAACAAGTGGAACGTACGACGGGATAATGGCTTGAAAGATATCCCTGGAGGATAGGGGTGGCTTCTACATTACAAACTTCGAACATCCGTACCTTAAGTAACAACTTACTAGGATAGTTAGGGATAATGGTGAGGGATAGGCTAACTAGTGATCTTGGATCTTTCGTTATATCCACGAAATACGTGAGCATATCATAGTACATGATCGGGAAATCTCATAATACTTCTCATAATACTTCTCAATTTTTTATAATTATTTAAGATAGGATACACATTAAACGTTCTCAATTGTTTAAAACGAACGACTAATTTTAATAATGATATACTAAAAACATTAATATTTGACCAATAATTAAATTGTACCTAATGTCTGATACGTGGTTCATGAAAGTACATTAAACTTGTATTCGCAGGGAATTCTACCGAATACACGTTTAAAGCGTTTATTTACTATACATATTAATTTTTCATGTAATGAGAATGTTTAGCTTGTTATCATATTCGTGACAATTTCGATTTCAATATATAATAATAAAAATTTTATACATGCTTTTGTAACACTTATTTAAGTATGTACATAGATGCTTACAGATATATCTGTAGAAGATATGTTTATTATTATCTTTTACATTAATATAAAACAAAGAGTTTATGAAAAATAGAAATATTTATTACTATTACTAGTATGTGCATACAATTTTATATGGCAAAAACAGAAGAATTTCTTGTCTTCTATTTTTCCCTTGTTAGGAATACTTCATGCTCCTTAATATATCAACTTTTATATCTTTTAACTTGACACATTAATTTAACATTAAAAATATTCGTTTGTTGACTATACGTAAATTCACACCGTAACCTCCTCATAATTCAATCATGGAATTTATAGTTACTTGGTAAACATCAATAATTGTCAAAATCATCAATGTGACCAACCGTAAACTTACATTCAAAAATTAATTTAATTAAAACTATTGGTCTCAGTACTTTTCAATATTATATTAGATAAAAGAATTAATAAAAACTGACAGTCATAAAAAGTATAACACATGCTTTTAAATTTAATTACATCTTTCATTCAAAATTTTATTAAAAATGAATTCAAAGAAGCGTAGTACAACACGCAGAAAAAATTTAGAAGAGAATGGTATTAACACATTACATATGTACATATTCATTTATGCGTACGTATGTATGTTTGTATGTATGTACGTATACGCAAAAGATATCATTTAACATTTTTTGTACATGTTAGTACACGTGACCCAAAGCCTCTGCACATTTACGTTATGATTTTCTCTTGTCTTTATTTTGAAGTGAATTTTTTCACAAGAACAATTTTTATCCAAGTTCTATTCACTATAACGCATTATTATTAAGTTGATCACGAATGAAACACAGATAGTATTTCAGTGTAATTAATGAGATATAATAGATATTAATAATAAAAATTATAAACGTAATTCGTAACTATTGGAAATACGCTGTGAACATAAGAATGTAAGATGTTAAATATGAGATAAGTACGTACGCTTTTATACGAAGACACCATTCACAGAAACCATTGATAAACTCTTCAATTGCACTAGAAAATACACTGTCACACGTAAAAGGTTTTAAATACTTTTTTCAAAAAAATCGTGAAAAATCACTACATGAGGAATCAAGTCAAATAGGAACGAAAGTAATGTAATTTCGAGAAAATACTAATACGCTTCTCGACAATAGCTCGTAACCCTTAAAGCTTGTCGGTACCGTTTATGATTGTCAATGTGACAAAAACAGCAACAGTAACAGCACAGGAGATCACGAAAACAGTTTCAACGAGTCAAGAATATGAACACGTATTCAGATTCGGCGAATAGTATCGGTTGATTCGTACGTCGACATGGGTGTCGTTGAACGAACTGGAAGGACGAAAACGAGAAAGACAAGAAAAGGTAGAAGAGCGTCGCGACGACGCGAGGGCTGACGACGCACTGACTAACCCGCCTGGCTGCTCCCGACAGCCGAACACTTGGGAGAGAACACCCATTCTCCCATTCTGATCCATTCTCCCCTACTGCACCGACACGTTCCGCTATGCCAAAACCCATCCTCCCACGCTATCCTCAACCACTACTCTCTACACACACCCCCACCGTCGCCCTTTACTGATCGGGACCGAGTGATCCACTTTGCCAAATGCCGAACGCCCCACAACACACTCCTGTCTATTAAAACATCGCCGTATCACTTGAAAAATAAGTACGTATCTTTTGAGTTCCGACACAAAAAGTATGAAATACCAAGGTTCTAGTCCCTGTACACTACTAATGTTCCACCGATTATTGATGTTATAGATGTTTAACTGATAGCAAATAAATTTTTTTCTAAAAGCTATGTTCTTAAGCGAAGGCAATCAAAACGAAATATTATAACTAAACTACGGATTTTATACATTTATAAGAAAACGTGCAGAAATTATAAATGGTACTTTTAATGCATAAAACCATTCAGATAAGTGATAAAATTATCTGGAACAAATGTTTTTAAACTAATACCACAAATATCGACTAAATTTAGCAGTCTGTTTATGACAAAATTACGAATGAAGAATAAAGCAAACTTGGGCAAAATTATTATGCAAAATGAGGAACTATAAGGCCTACAATATTTTGGTTTCTGAAGTATTTTCATAAGATCCATTCAAGCTTTTCGTTTTATCTTTTCTATTTGCAGTTATTCTAAAACTTTGTAAAGTGTAAAATAAAATATACATTTTATATTCTGGTCATGTCATCAATTTATTTGTCCCTTAGTACAAACTTTCTTAATGTTAAAGTCAATATTATCTATCTTTTACTGTGTATGTTTTTATTTGCGATAGTACGTATATATAAAATGTTTAATTGAGATTAAATATTTATTTTTTATTACACACACATAATCACGAGATTCAATGTATATGTACAGGTAGAACCGAAAATTTTCCCCTCTATTCATTAATACTTCTACATGTGATGTACATATGTATATTCTCAAAGTGTGTAAAGACGGTTATTACCATACAAGATGCTCGGTTATTGATGGGAAAAATTTTAAGGAATAATTAAAGCCAAAATAAAGCAAAAGTCACGAATAAAAAAATTGCGTCGTTATGAACACTGGACAGTTCTTTATTACCTGAATTATGGGAAGCAGACAACAATTTTTATATGAAACTTGCGCGGTTAAAGAGGGTATATCTTTTAATGGAAATTTGGAAATTCTATTTAATGAGATGCGATGATCATTCTTTCAAATGGGCCTATTGTATATTTTTTTTCATCGTTTGATAAAGTGTTTTGAGGCGATTTCATTTACCCTTCGAACATTAGATCGATTTTAATTAGGTTTTGAGATATTGAACTCAAAAGTTTATAAAGTTTTACAAAGTGGGAATAGGGAGCAGATTGTCCTATTGTGGTTAAGCCGCATGAAATAAATATCTATGACCTGTATTAGGATCGACAGACCTAAAGGATAATACTTTCCTGCGTCCTTATCCATTTACTTAAATGGAATTTACTGCAAATTGTTACCAATTTTTAATCAATTAATTTCTACATCTCATAACGGTCATGAAAGTCTATCTGGGACATTTTAAGGAGCTAGACAGCCTACCTGCGTAATAAGGTAGAACATTAGTATTACCCACCAAATTAGCAAAAAATATGGGTTTAAAAAAATTGACTTTCCGTTGTTATATTAATAGATATTTAGGTCGTTAGGTCTCTTCGAAAAGGTAAAACTTAAAATGGCGCTCTGGTCATTATTCAGTGAGATTATCCCAATATCTAATAAGGCTAGTTTTAATTTGACTAGATGTAATAGAGCAAAGAACATCAAAAATTTACTGATAAATGCTAGAAAAGTCTCGTGATTACCCCGGTCCCTTAATATTTTTCACTCCTTAATGTTTCTTAATATCTACTCACCTCTAGGTAAGTATAATCATGCATTTCAATATGCAGTAATTCAACTATTTGATCTGTTTTTAATTCGTGTGTATAATTGCTTATGCGCTTAACCCTTTCGCGACGGCGCACCTGTACCATACTTTGCTACTTTTCGCCTAAGT